CCAATGATAATAAACTTACCATTTTATACAGGGTGTCCACAAATTTAAACTAATCAAATAAGAACTTTAAGTGGCTCTAACTTGATTAATTTAAAGACAACCCCATATTTTTTAGCTTACCAAGAAATGCAATTTTCAATTACCTATCGAATGAGGCTAGGATGTTGATAACTAAGTTTTTACCTTTTTACAAAATACACCAAATAATTCTGTGCACCATTTGGTATTTTTTTAAGTTAAAAGGTTAAATAACATATCAACAATAACATAAAACAAAGGCAAATTATTTATAACAAATGTTCGAAATGTTGAACGTCCATTTCCAGGCACGTGTAAATTCTTTTTTCAAAACCGCTGCTAACTCTTGACAACATTTGCGGAGTTACAGTTTTAAAAGCGTCTCTTATGCGTGTTTTCATATCGTGTGAAGTTGTCGGAAGCATATGGTAGACAATTCCTTTTATGCACCCCCACAAAAAGAAATCTAGTGGAGTTAAGCCCGGAGATCTGGGGGGCCAATTTTGAAACCCATTTCTGCCAATCCACCTGTTTTAAAAGTTGGTATTTAAAAATTGCCGAACTTCGCAGTGATAATGAGGCGGAGCTCCATCCATTTGAAGCCACATGTTGGTTCTAATATTGAAAGGGACTTCTTCTAATAATATTTAAAGATGGTTTATTAGAAACTGGAGAAGAAAAAAAAATAGGGTCCAATTAAATATTGACCCAGTATTCCACCCCACACATTAACTGACCACCTATTTTGATTTTTCATGACCCTGTATGCGCGCGGATTCGTAGAATAATAATGAAAGTTGTGTCTATTCACGAGACCATTGTTATGAAAAAAACATTCATCACTAAATAACACATTTTCGAAAAAATTTTCATTTTCTACCACTTTATCTAACACCCACACGCAAAACTCAGTGCGGTTTTCAAAATCATTTTCATAAAGTTCTTGGCAATGCTGAATTTTATAAGGATAAAAGTTGTGCTTTTTGATACTTTTGGAAATACTTGATTGACTAATGTTAGTACTTTTGGATATTAGATTTTGACTA